GCCAAAGGCTTCAATGCTAGGGCCACAATGCAATGGTGGGCAACCGGCCCCGACATCCGGTCGATGCTTCTCCCCTGACACACGCAGCCTCAGCCGCGTCGGGACCATGGTGTTTAAGCCGGAAGTCATCTCCGGCAAGTCTCGACGCGGTCAACGGAGACTGCGACTCTTGGAAACACAAACACAACGCCAGTAGCAACCACACGAAAAGTTTGTAGTCTGAGGGTCGCTGATCCATATCTGATGGCAACTATCAGCCACGCTCAGCCCTGACCACCACGAGGCCAGTGAGTCTGCGCACCAATTTTAATCATGTCACCAAGTGCCACATTTGAGTGGGCAGCGTAGAGGATCGCGAGACACGGACATTTCCCAGTCTATTCGCCCACCATTTCCTGTTAGTGGTCTCAGTTCGACCCGCCGAGCGGCAGCACAGGTGGGAACGCATTGGGAGCTCATAGTAGGCGACTTGCTGGACAACCGATGCCTGCAGAAAGCTCAGGCAGAAAGAAGTACTGTATCGCTCATTGGCTGCATGCATATGGGGGATCGCCAGCTCGAAATGCCATCTAGTGGACAGACTGGGTTGCTAGGTGTCTTGGTGACTAGCCAAGTCCAGACTGGTTGATCAAATGTGCGCGTGTGCGTCTTCGTGAAGGAGATTACGAGAGGATCAGAAGGGACACACGAAGAGAGGGAGATGGGAAGGGAGGACGCCGAACGGATGCATGGACCCGACATTTACACCCCCCTCCCTTGTGTCGTCAGCCACATGCCCATTAAAGCCGTGATATTCTCCCGCCGCGTCCCGGGAATCACCTTGTTTCAGTTGAGTACGGCAGTTGGGATTAGGACCGAAACTACGCACTCTCGCGCCCGTGACGGTTCGCGTGAGAAAAAGGGCGGATGGCGCCTAGGCCGCCGCGCGCTGTGCTGCCTCCGCCAGTCAAGCAACGCCAGGCAACGGTCATAGTTCTCCTTTGAGCTGAAGCTGAGGAGGGAAACAAAGGTACAGACGACGGCGGGGGATGGTGACGTCTGGCCTGACGTACTTTTTCCTTCTTCTTCTTTTTTTCACAACTCTCCTTGCTGTATTCCCCAGTCGGCGAACTCCGCCGCCTCGCAAGGCGGAGCTGACACGAGTTTTACCAAGACGCGCCTAAACAGCGGGAGGACCGTCACTTGGCTTTTAGCACGCTGCCACCAACACCAGCGGCGCGTGTCTGTCCAACGACCAGCGCACATCTGGCACCTCCGCCGTGGGGGTGGCTCTCGGGGCGCCCCCCCCCCCCCCAAAGTGCCCCTCTGAAGCCGAAGGCCTGATGTCCCATGCCCCGGTGTAAGGGCGCCCATCCCGCCCTTCCGCCGGGCACACCGACGACTCGTCGCACGCGATCACCGACGGCGCCTGGGCTGGTGGCCTGCGAGACGAAACCTTACCAGCAAACCCCAGCGATCGTTACGCTGTAGCCCTCTGGTGACGGGGAAATTCCGCCCAGCTGCCACCCGGCTGTGCCTCGGCTTCCGGTCCAGAAACGGACGCCGAGACCGTTGATGGCATCATTGCCCACACCTGCTGCCAGCAACAGTCCACCACCTCCGAACCACACGAAACCTCAGGGTGCGGCCGGCGAGAGCCAAGAGCCACCGAGCCAAATCTTCGGCGCTGACGATCCCCCGAGTCATACCGGACTCCGCTGCCGACTCGCCGCCGGGCGCCTGGGCGGCATTCGGAGCCCCGGTGGTTCCTCTCTGCAGCAGTTTTCATAGTCAACTAGACTCGCTCGGCAGCTACTTCGTCATGCTTCTATGCAGCTTCTACTTGGTGGCTGAAGTTTCTACCTGGCGGAGGTTTCCCCATCTGGCTGGCGGCCGGCGACCCTTCATGGATGTCGCTCGGCCACCAGAAGGGGACCATGCTTGACGACTGGTGACGAGGCTGGTCTCCATGAGACCTGAGACTTGAGACTGTGCAAGCCTCTTGTCATGCGTTCTCCGGCCGGGTCTGTTCCATTGTCGCCAGGACCTTGAGGGTGTAGATTCAGACGTGGTACCCAGGTATATGTACAATCAAGCCATGTCCGAAAACGGTTCTGGAGAACCATATGAACCCCTTGTCCTCTTTGTGTTTACCCTCTGGTCGTCATCCACTTTTCGACCCTACCCTCCTCGCTGCAAGCGCAATGCGAAGCTTTTCCCCGATGTCTCGCGGCGACATCTCCGTGTCACCGCCAGCCGGGTACTCGTGAGCCTTGGCCAACGTGGACGCAAAGATCAAAGCTTCGTGGTGATCACCTATACCCTTCATCGGCGTTCGGGATCATCCCCGCTCCCCGCCGTGGGTACGTGTAACGTAGTAGGCGTACCAGTTTAGCTTTGCGCCCCTGCTTAGCGGCGGCTGACCAGCCGAGTCTGTCTGCCGTGAAATGCAGAGAGCATGGTTTTTTGTATGCTAGCAACAATCATTGTCTGAACCATCGACCTCTTGACAAGGTTATCGAGGCATCTTGTTTACCTGTTTTTCTGCCCGGCTGTGTGGGTTTCCGTCCTGAACCCTGGCTACTGGAAAGCCCAAGGCTTTTAGGTGGTAGGGGGCGGGGGGTGAAGGGGTGGGAGAGGCTGGAATAGGTGTGTTTGTGTGTGTGTGTGTTCTCTTCTTGGCCGTGCCGAGCCCCATTGATCACCTACCGATGCTTGTTGCTTGGCCCGCTGCGCCCGTGGGACAATGTCTTCAGCTCTGGATGAAGTGATCGACAAGTCTGTCTATGAGCGAGCCGCGGCCCTATCCACGCACAACTGAGACCATGTACCCAGTACCGTGGGGTAAGGTGAAGGAACCTGTCTTGGCCACCCACGCTGCCCGTTTTTGTTTTGCGCTGCGCAGGCCTCGCATTGACTCATCACAACCCACGCCGTTGAGCGGTAGGGTGAGACAGCACAGGGCAGCGAGACGAGCATGCATGGCGACGCTCACGATGTCAAGCGGCCAGAGTCAACAGATAGATGCTCTCGCGTTGAACGTGAAAAGATAGCAAATGCCAAGGCCAGACAGAACCACCCCGCAGGGGGCCGGAAAAAAACCCCCCCCCCCCCCCCCCCCCCCCCCCCCTGAGATGCCAACTCCCTATTCTGGCCGCCACAGATGAGCTGACCTCCGTGGCTGTGGCCGGCGATCTGTTGCTCATACCGGTTTAGTGGCTACACGCCAGATAGTCCCCCTCACCCCATGCCCCCGGGACCTTGGCCCAGTACAGCAACAGGGCACTCTCGGCATCTGGGGGTTCATTTGCTTTGAGCGGCTCCCCCGCCTCCTCCCCCCCTATTTCCCCAGGTGGTGGCGGCGGGCTGCGGCATGTAGACCGCACCTTTTTGCCCTTTGCATTTCGCAAGGCGTCCCCCCGGAAGAGGACGAGGAGGGGGGTGAGGAGGAGCACGAGAGTTTCCAAGTAGGCCCAGTTTGTCGGCATCGATCTTCAGTGCCGGGGGCCCGAGCCCCTGCTCCAAAGATAGGTCCCGGTCTCACGAACGGCTCGGCCGGACGAGGTGGGGCCTGGCGTTCGATATATGGCCTGATTTTCGGCAATGTTTGATGGGCTGGCACGTGCCGGGAGTAGGAAGGGGTCAAGAGGACGGGCAGAAGGGGGGGTTGCTTGTTCCGGCAGAGAGGGAGGGAGAGAGAGAGAGACAGACAGATGGACGGACAGAAAGGCGATTGCTTCGTCGGACGGCAGTCGTCAAAGTCAACATGTTTGAAACATGCTCCGCCGATGAGCCTCGACGTCGTCTGCGATACAGTGGCTCGACAGGGTGGTGTCATACTCATCGACGTCGACTGGGCTGCTTCGGTATGTTCGACACGTCCCAAAGGGGGAGGACCCTTGAAAGCTCGGCAGAGCTTGGGAGCTGTGCTGCCGCCTGCCCGGGAAGCTCGGGTAGGGAATGTAGGTAGGTACAGGTAGATAGGTAAGGGGGGCACGTCCGTTTCGATCTGGGGGAGCAGGCTGGCCCTCTGGATCTCGGGCGATGCCTTTGTTTGCCACGTTACTGGAGGGCCCTGCAGCTCCAAAGTATATGTCTGTCGCAGCACGGGGGGGGAGCCGAGGACTGCGCGGGACGGACGTGGTGCGTCCCGAGCGAGCCAGCGGCCGGGGGATGCACCAACGAGGAGAGGAAGATATGGACCGGTGGTATACTTTACGACAGGAGGTCCTACATGCATACCCGGCTTGTCGGAAAGAACACGCCATCGATCTCTAGAGCGGCCCGTACGCTGCCTTTTTTTTCATGTTCGATACGCGGCGGCGGCGGCGGCAGGGGTTCAGATTATCAGGAGGGGGTGGGAAGCGAAGTACTGCCTACCCGGCAGTACATTTTTCATATTTTGCTGTATTTTTATTGTATCTTGGGCGTCGTCGCTCTCTGCCCACTCACGGTGTTGGGCACCACCAGACCGAAAGGAATGATGATGAAGGACAGGGGCCGGGGTGGGCAGCACTCTACGGCCATCGAGAGACGCGTACACTGGCCCATTCGACGATACCAGGGTTTGGCATTTTCGGCTGTACCAATGTCTATTGCTGAGGAGGAGTCGAAAACGTCCAAAGAAGGGGGGGAGGAAAAGGGGGGAACCCCGTACTTCGTCGTCGGGAACAATGCCTCTTCGGTCTCCCAGGATCAGATTTCGATCTGCCCAGGTCATCCCAATCTACCCTCGCCCGCCGCGGAAAGGCATCCGGCCTCCCAGAAACGCCTGCGCTGATGACTCCTTTTCTTGCTGCTTCCTTCATTGTGAACAGCCCCTTTTCACACTCGTACTCGTACATGTCCTCCATGCGCCCCATGCCATCCTAGAGCCCTCCCTTTCCTCCTCCCGCGCCCAACCTACTTCCCGGTCGCCGCGGACGGGGAGGAAGGGGGCGGGAGTCCTTTGCCAGTCGAGAGTGTCAAATTGACGCCTCCCGTGACACGTCACCTAAACAGGGAGACAGACGCGGCATGGCCTAGATGAGCGTCGGTGCCGTGTTCTTGGTCCACCCCTTGGCCCGCATCTGGGCCTCGACCTGCTTCCAGATGGCCTCGACGACCTCCTTGTCGCGGAAGCGCGCGGCGTCGCCGGCGCCGGGGACGGCGCCCACGGCGTGCCGCGGTCTGTCGACGCCCAGCTGCATGACGCGGTGGCCCCAGTTGCGCACGTTCTCGGGCGGCGTCTCGCCGCGCCAGCCGACAAAGATGCCCTGGACGTGGCGGAAGAGCTCCTGGGGCTGGTTCCACTTGTAGTTTTTAAACTGCCACGTCTGGCCCGTCGTGAAGACGGCCACGACGCGGTTCCAGTACTCGGGCTTGAACTGCTCGGGGCCTTCGACGAGGATGAAGCGCATGGGGCGCGCCGGGTCAATGTCCTTGAGGACGCGGGACACGTGGAGCATGCCCGACGACGACGAGGCGCTGCTGCTGTCGGGGGCGACGTAGCGGCCCTGCTCGAGGAAAGAGCGAATGTTGGACATGCGCAGGATGGACGAGGCCGAGGGCGAGAGGAGGATGATGGGGTCGGGCCGGCGTGAGGGTGCCTTTTGGTTGAGCGCCAGGGAGGGGTTGGCGGAGACGGGGTTCGGGCCCGTGCCGGGCTTCTTCTGGATGAACGGTGCGGCGAGCTTGCGGACGTGGGAGAAGTCCTGGCGACGATCCGTCGAGCGTCAGCAGCGTTTCTTTTCTCTTTCTTTGTTCCTGCCAGCGCTCTTCTCGTTGCGCCGCATGCCCCTCCGGCCAGAGGAGGCGGGTGAGGCAGATGAGACGGGTGAGGCAGATGAGACGGGGGAGGCCGAGGGGGGCGGGGAGGCAGAGGAGACGAGGGAGAGGGAAAAACATACCGTGGGCTTGACGCCGCGAAGGACGGAATTGCGATCGCCCATCCTGCGCTCGCCGTTGTAGATGACAGCCAGCCGCGGGTCGAGCGTCCCGCGTCCACTCCGCGCGACGGCGGCCGACGGCGCAGCCTTGACGGCACTGGCGGCGGCGGCGCCGTCCTTGCCCTCGCCGGCCAAGGGCCTGATGTGCTCCGACTCCTCGCTCGCGCCCTCGAGCCAGGTGAAGAGATCGAGGCGCTCGACAAAGGCCAGGTTCTGGACGTTGCCGAGGGCGCCGAGGTCGTCGTTGAGCCGCGTGGCCGAGGCGTTGTACTCGGGGATGGCGACATCCTTGTTGAGCCAGGCAAAGTAGATGGAGCGCAGGTCGACGGGGCGGTCGCTGCTGATGAAGCGCGTCGGCGTGCCGAGGCTGATGGAGACTGGTCGCGGGTGAGGGAAGTGCAGGTGTGTGGCTCGGGCGAGGGGGGCCTCGTCGGCGGCGTCTGGGGAGGCTGAGGGGATCGCGGCGCGCTTGGAGGCGATGGACTGGCGCAGGAGGAGCAGCGGGTCCTGCTCGGCGGACGCCATGGTGAGGAGGTGCGTGATGGGCAGTGTCGATGATGTGTCTCTGGCGATTGGCAATTGGGGTTGGAAAGGCGAGGCTGAGGAAGGGGGTTTCGAGATTGGTGTTCAAGGATGATGTCGTCGTCGTTGATGGAGTTTATTTTGTGGTTGAAGCTCTGGTGAGCTCTCGTTGGAGCTGCCAATTTTCCGACGTCCGTAGCGCGACCTCTATGCGAGAAAGCGATCTCGGGGGGGGGTACGTCTTTATGCAACTATCCGCCAGCATTGCCTTCACATTGCCTTACCTTGAGGGATCCCATTTCTGTCGCATCGGAATTACTTTCTTCTCTCCCATTCACGTCTCACGTCTCGATGCTGCGGAGCATCAACAGAGACATGTCTTTAATCATAATGGCCTAATCTCTGTCATTGTTTGTTCTTCAGGGAATCGCTATCCTGCACCCTCCAAAGCTCCAAAGAGCGACGCCCACAGCACAGCACGACACCAACATTCGCCTTTTTCCATCCGTCATGCCCACCACTCTTGACCATGAACAGGTAGTTGGTGCTGCCTCTTGTTTCTGTCCCACTTTGCATCACGTTCCGTCATAGTCGGCATTGGTGATGGACACTTCTGAGCCTTCGCGCCTCGGCCTGAACTCCTTTCGAAGACCTGAAGCGCCCTTGCCACGGCCATGATAAACACAAACACCCAATCCTCTGGATTCGTGCTTGCTGTTCGCTGGACATGTGGGACTCGTTGGGAGGTGCTCTGGGAGATCAAATTCAAAGTCCATCACACCCAGGTCCGAGTCTGTCGGGTTGCGCCTGACGGGCTTCGACGGCATCGCCTCCCACCACTCCTTCGTCTTGGACAAGTGGCCGCCCTCCTGGCTGTACGTCGTCGACCTGGGCGAGCTCTTCTGCGAGGCCGAGATGACTGTCCACGAGTCGGCCCCTTCCAGGTTCCCGGGCGGCCGGGTTTGGGAAAAGAAGGATCTGGGGTGCCCGGTAGCAGAATCTTCCACAAGAGGGGGCGTCTTGATACGAGTGGCTTCCTGCGTTGTTACGTGTTAGTCATGGGGTCCAATGTACCGTATGCACGACGGTGCATGCGAGGGTCACAACTTACCCCTCCTGGATAGCCAGAGGTGTAGTAGTCTGCATCTCGTCGGTTAGCCGTGGACCCCACCTCGAGAAGCAATGCTACTCGAGAAGCAATGCTACTCGAGAAGCAATGTTACTCGAGAAGCACTGCTACACGACAAGCAATGCTACGCACCGAGCTGCATCTCCTTGGATGGTGTGACGGGTGGTGTGCTTCCGGCGAGTAATCCTCGAACCGAACTGGCAGCACTCATGGCCGAGGCACCAGACTCCTTTCGATGCCAGGGTGCCTTGCCGAACCATCTCTTGCCGAACTTGTTGCTGCCGCTTTCGCCCTTGAGCCACGACGCTGATCTAGCCAGACTCCTGACTGCGCGCAGCGGGTCTGCTCCGTTCTCCACTGGAGCTTTCTCTGGAGGGCTGCATCCATGGGGCAGACTGTCGTTGGACGCCAGATCAGACTTGGAGCTCGCGGGCGAGCTGGGCAGACGCGCTGGTGATCTGTTTTGCAGCCGGTCAAGCAATGTTCGCCCCAAGAGCGTCCGTCTGAGGCCCGTCGTGGCCGTCGCCGCGACTTCCTTCTCTTCGGATATTTGCACCCCAAACACGACATCGAGAGGCGAGATGTCGTCCATTTCAGCTCTCGGAACGCCTCGGCGCGTGCTCTTGAAAGAGCTCTCGCTCCATTCACGCAGCTTCTGCGATGAGGGCCCTTGTAGAGACGCGACGTGGGCTTCCTCCGAGGCATAAGGGCTCATCGGCGTGGCGGGCTTCAGCATCGAGAGTGAAGGCGAGTTTGGCGCCGACGTCATGAAAGGCTGTGCCTTTGGCGTGAGGCTTTTGGGTGACGGGCCGTGATCATCGCTGCCTCCTATGCGACGCCCTGGCGGATCGCTGATGGACTTGAGAGAGCGACTCCGCCAGCTGAACAGCTTGCTTGGCGTGGTTCGGCGCAGGTCGACGACGGCTATTTCGCGTTCAGCCCAGTAGCCCTCGGGAAACCATACCTATTCGCATCCCTCTCGGGCTGGACGAGGCGGGTCAAGGTTGCGCTGTATGGTGTTTACATGCGGTGCCGGCTGGCTGCTCGCGACCGTTCGATATGAGGACGTGTGTGGTTGGCTGATCGGGATTTTACCGAAATATCCACCCATCTGGGTTGGCCTCGGTGTGCTTGATCCATCACAGCTCGGTGTCGATACGTGAGGGCTGATTTCGAGCAGGGCAGTGTGGAACGAGATGCGACGCGAGGCATCTGCTTCACGAGAAGAGCTGCTGCTTGGCACGTTAGGTTGACCTGATGATTGCACGGCGCCTGTATGTAGAGTTCCCCTACCTTCGCCTACGGCTGTTTGGGAAATAAGACGGCGCCTGTCTTTTCGGTGGGGGATATGTAGAAGCCATGGCTCTTGTGCGTAGTCCCCACCGATTGCGCGCCAAAGCTCGTAGAAGTCTACTGCAGCAGTAACAGTAGGATAGGAGGAACACCCATCAAGCCATTCTGCAGAGGGGCGATGTGTAATGGATGCTCACGCCGAAGGTCATGGTTGATGCTAGGATTTCGTCTACTCGAAGGAGTGGCCAGGCGGAGACAGAACACCGCATCTCCATGGCCCAACCGCAACTTTGATGCCAGCCGTTTCAGGGCGCCATGTGGTTTCTTCAGCTCTTGGTCGGATCACGGGAAGTAGTGACCCGGTGTTGGTCTGGATCATAGATAAGTCATATAAGTAAGGTAGGTGCTAGCCACCGAACAGCTGGTGCCCAGAGCTGTGGCTACCCGTCCAAGTCATTTTCGGAACCGCCTGGATCGCCGTTCGACTGGCGGGTATCAAATCAAAAACCCTTGAACGCCTCCTCATGATGCCATGCCTGCCATTGCCTTCCGGGGTTAAAAAAAAAAAAAAAGAAAAAGAGGAGTGCCCGAAAGTGCCAGTCGTCAAGCGAATGCTGGGGTCATTTCTGGAAATTACAGATCCATCATCGTGTCGTCGCCGTCAAATGCGGGACCCTCCGGCTCGGCCACAACGCCACGTCCTCTGCCGGCAATGAGCTCTCGCCTAATCTCAGGGGCGATGGCAGGATGGCCGTGCGTCAGGAGCAGATCGAGAAGCGCCTCTCGCTGGTCCTCGCTGAGATCGTTGCGGTAGCGCTGCGCGAAAGAGAGAAGGCTCTGGTGGAAGATGACGGGCAGAGACTTGACCATGTCGCCAGACACGGCCTGGCCCTCCTTGACCGAGGCGGGATCCACGCTGCGGAAACGCAAAAAGTGAAAGACGACCGAGTCGATGACCTGGTAGGGCAGCGCGTACTTCTTCTCCAAGAGCGTCTTGATGAACACATTGGCAGCACCACCACCCTCGGTGCCCTGCGACGCCTCTTGCGCGGCGCTATAGTCCTGTCAGCATGGGGTATTCTCGCAAAGCCTCGGTCATGGCATGGCAGCTTACATTTCCGTGATGCCCTTCAGGGCAGCGGCGGAGTGCAGAACGGGAACCGACACCCGGGCGAGGACAGCCGAGATGATGTGTGCCTCGCGGAGCGTGCAGTTGCTGGACAGCAGGGGGAAGAGGAAGCCGAGGAAGAAGGCCCTGGGCTTGTAGAGGCTCTTCTTGAGGGCGTTGAAAAGATGGACGTTGAGTTTCTTGGTCTCGTAAATGTCCTCGCGCACCTTGTCGATCATGACAATCTCCATAAACTTCTGGCACGTGGCGGGGGTCGAGGCGGTGAATATCCTCGTCGCCTGGTACGCGGCGTTTGGCGTCCACTTGGCGGGCTCGGTCACCTCGATAATGTCCTCCCAGTGCGGCAGCGTCGGCAGGATCTTGAAGGGCTTCGGGAGGGCGCCACTCTTGTAGCGAGAGAGAATTTGGCCAATTCTGCGCTGCTGTCAATCTGCGAATTCTGCACTGTCCGCCCGGCGGGTACTCACTTGGTGTAGGCCTCGACAACTTTAGGGGGGAGCTCATAATCGTCTACCGGCAGACCAGCCTCGCGACGCGCCTCGGCGGCCTCGTGTGCGGCAATCTTGTCAAGAATGAGCTCGGTCAGGTTGGTGCCGCCGCCGCCCATGTCGTCGTCCCCACCCTTGGTGTCCCAGCCGGCCTCTCTCAACATGTCTGACGGCTCCTCGCCTGCGTCGGGCATGAATTTGCGGTACATCTCGAGATCCTCAGGGTCCAACTCGATCTCCTCTACGACCTCGTCTTCGTCGCCCCACGCCTCGTCGTCATCGTACTGGCGGTCCTCGTCGGGCGCCTCGATACCGTACCTCGCCTCAATGCCGAACATGTCGACCGTGGGCTTGGCTACCGGTTTCGGCCCCTCATCCTCCTCGGCAAGTTCGCGACCCAACCTCAGGATGTTCTGGCTCTGCTTGTTATCGACATAATTCTCGTCGTCTTCCTTGGTCTTCTTTCCCTTCTTGACCTTGGGCGCCTTGTTCTTCAGGATGCCGGTCGCGAGGATGTCGTCCTGGAGAGGGTTGTGGCGCCGCGCTTGGCGGTCGGTGGATGGCGTTGCCTTGCCCATGTTGTCTGTGCCGTCGGTCTTTGGTCGTCGAGGATGGCTCTTTGTGCGGTCGAATCAGGTGTCCCGGCGATGTGAAGGGGGCTTCAATCAGGCACTCGTCGAGTTTGGGTTGCGATGTTGATAGCACGATCCAGATTTTTTTATTTTTTTCTTATCGCACTTGCCCCGCGATTAGTGCCCTCAGTTCGGGAAGGGAATAAGTGGAGTATTCGGCAGCTTTTGTCCAATAGGTGTCCCGTATTTCCCAAGTCTGACGTCCTTCGATGTGCCCCCGCCAAACCCCCCACCATGGCATTCGAATCACTTCGTCGCCTCAAACTCATCACTCTTTGAGTAAACCGTCATGAGGTAACAGTCGACCGAGTCTCTGCTCTATTTGCACGTCGTTCCCTTGCACTATATATTTTATCCATAGGTGTCACAAGCATCATAGTCTGAACATGCCCACAGAATTAGAGGAGGTATGTAGGCCAGCAACAGGCTCTCTTGGCTCGCCGTGCCGGCCATGACTGACATGCGACAGCTCGTCGGCTTCATCGCCAGTGCGAGCCCCCAGATTCGGCTTCTCGCCGTGGAGAATCTGATTCCATACTCAACAACACATCCGGCCATCTTCAAGACTGAGAACTTACTGCCAGTCAAGAATCTCACATTGTTGACGCAAGATCACCCTGTAAGAGACTCGCTCTCACTCGGCCAATGTACTGGACAGATGCTAACGTTTTTTGAAGAAAATTGCTGAACATGCCATCACAATACTGGTCAACCTGTCGGGCGAGCAAGACGTTCTTGAACTCCTTGCCGCCAACGACAAGTTCGTGGACGCCGTTCTCGCGAGGGTCGTTGTAAGTCAAATCACAAAACTCCCAAATGACCGAACCCATGGAAACTGAACCCCTTCCTTAGAAACCAACAGAACCCAACGCCAACCTGCTGGCCATGCTCCTGGCCAACCTCGCCAAATGGGACGGCCTGAAGAAAATCTTCAACAAGAAGCAGCCGCCCCCCGAGGCGCTCCAGTCCAACGAAATGGTCATCAACCAGCTCCTCGACCTCTTCGTCAAGGGCGCCGAGGGCACCTACAACAAGGCCGCCGACTACGACTACCTCGCCTACCTCTTCGCCGACCTCGCCAAGCACACCGAGATCCGCCAGTACCTCGTCACCAAGCAGGCCTACGACGACGTCGTGCCCCTCGCCAAGCTCCGCGTCTTCACCGAGCACAAGTCGGACATTCGCCGCAAGGGCGTCGCGAGCACCATCAAGAACGCCGCCTTTGAGGTCGCGGCGCACAAGACCTTTCTCGCCACCGACGACATTGACATATTGCCCTACATCCTGCTGCCCATCATGGGCGACGAGGACTACGACGAGGACGACACGATGGGCATGCTGCCCGAGCTGCAGCTGCTGCCGCCGGGCAAGAAGCGCGACGCGGACCCGCGCATCATGCAGACGCATATCGAGACGCTGATGCTGCTGACGACGACGAGGGACGGACGCGACCTCATGAGGGAGGTCAAGGTGTATCCCATCATCCGGGAGACGCACTCGCGGGTCGATGATGACGAGGTGAGAGACGCATGCGACAGGCTGGTGCAGGTGTTGATGGCGGATGAGGAGCCAGATTCAGAGTCCAGGGTCAAGGAGGTGGAAGACGAGGAAGAGCAACTGGTCGAGGTTTAAGATACGATAGACAGCGCAGGAGAACATTGAAGAGCATCGCCGAACGCTGCGCATTCGACAAAGTGTGACTGGCCTATGGTCCTCTGTTCCAGCTTCTTATTCGCAGCTCATCCGTCAGAATACTCGCCGGGCTACTTCACATGTGTGCTCCCCTAATCTGAAGCATGACTATTCCGTCTTGATGTCAACTTTGCTCTTGTCTATCGCCAGTCAGTCCTAGCACGCAAAGTTCGGGTCTGACAACGTACAAAAAGCAACATAGCCTTCAAAATGCTTCGCCTTGTCCTTCGTGTCAGGATAATACCAAGCCGCGTTCTCCAGCTTTGTGTCTGCGAACACATGTCAGCGTGTGCCACCAGAACCCAGGCCCCGCCTGTTCGTCTCAAAAAGTCATGCAAGAGCGCCGCGAGGGGACGCACCCCCAGTCTTGACATGGTAATACTGTGCATCGCCCTTCCATGGGCAGTGCGTAGAATGTCCCGTCGGACCCTCAAAGAGGTCGCGCGTCAGCGATCCGGGCGGGAAGTACACATTGCCCTCTACTTCCTCCCACTCGGTAGTCTCGGCAACGGTGACACCGTTGACGGTGGCAGTGGCTCGGCCAGTGTGTGTCATCGTAGCGATTCGTGTTCCAAGACCGACAATCGGTGTTTATTGTTCTAATGAATGGCGGATGAAGTGGACAATGTTGTACATGTGAGGCAAAGGACGACAGGTTCATCGGAAATCTCGTGCGGGGGATCTGATCCATCACGTCATGATTAATTGTGTCGTATGCGGGCGCTGCCGAATCAAATGCCGAACAAACTTTTGTGAGTTTGTAATCATCTTCAAGTCAAAGATAATAAAATAGAAGAACCTGTTGCTATGTATGCTATGAAACACCCCATGCGCCGGGGTATAAGTATGCTCAAACGGCCTGTGGTGCCCTGTCAAGCATGGCTTGGCCCGTCTGTAATGCGAAATGCTGAAAAGGCCAAATTCGTCGTCGTGTCGTGAAGTAAGAAACTGCAATTGCCTGATTAGAGGTCAATCAGATCTACCTCTGAGAAGTCAGGAGGATTCCGCCCGTATACAACCCGGACCTTACTATCCAATGCGGTCCCCTCGTTGCTGATGTGGATGTTTTCGGTATACTCTCTTGTCAATCGAATTTCGTCGTCGCTGACACCCAGGTCATCGCGAGGAATCCAGACAGTCGGCATGCGGGCTCGAAGTGCCGTATGCTTGAATGATTCCTGCACCAGTGCATTCCTCTCTTCAGGCATCAAGTCCTCAATCTCGTCGGCGACGCCCCCGTACAGAGCTTCTCCTATGGCACGCTGAGCCTCCAGGTCCTTCTGACGTTGGTGTCTGCGATAGTACGCCGCATTTCTCACGGCCGAGGGCGCTTCCACTTTCTTCCATGTAGCAACATTGCGAATACCTTGGCCTCCCTTGACCGCCAAGTTACGAACTCCCTTGACAGGGTTGTATCCTCGCTTCTTCGTATCGTTGCGTGACAGTCCCTGAAGCTCAATCTCGTCGTCTTCTCTGCCACGGGAGTCGCCGATGCTTCCATCGTGGCGTTTCTCGACATCAGCACCGTCGGTATCCTGATCAGTCTCTTCGACCATGCCAAACCGTCGAAGTTGCTCCTGGTGGAAGACCTCGTCTCGAATCGCGGCTTCGTCTTCACCCGTCACCGGCAAATAGCGGAAGAGCGGGGAGAAAGACCGATTCAGTAAGACTTGGTAGCAAATGGTAAGACCAACAGTGACCAACATGATGATGGCTTGTGGCTGCTGGGGCCGGTTGTTCACATCTCTCGCAACGAAGAACATGCCAGCCATACTGAGCTCCATGACATACAGCCCGGTAAACAACTGGTTGATGGCTCGTGGATACAACACACCGCCAGTGTCGATCCCGGCACGCACGACATAGAGCAGACAATACTTCTGAGCCAGCAAAAGAAGGCCAAAGGTAATGCAGGCAAAAATGTTGATAAGGGGCGCAGTGACCGAGTAGATAAGCCCAATACAGGCAAAGTTGGTGTAAACGGGGAAGAGATGGCCCCATTTGATGCCACTCAGAGTTGTGTTACGAGTCCACTTATTGCGGGCTGTTGTATCCAGCATCTTCGCCAGCACGTACCAAACCAGAAGAGCACCAATCTGGAGCAGCGCACCGGAGCTGGATGATAGCGCCTGGAGTATCATGTACGAGAAGAAGTAGTTTGCAGCCTGAGGCAGATTGTCTGCTAGTACTGTCCAGATGTAGTCGACTTCGTTGAACTTTTGCAGGTTCGCAAATAATTGGTCTGCAGCGCCGGCGAAGAAACTGGCAACGGAGACAACAAGAAAGACCTGGACGAAGAGAAACATGAAGTAGAAACGCTGCACGAATTCCGTCTTCTGCGCGCCCGTCTTGGCGCCCTTGAAGTCGGCGAGCAAGTCCAGCAGGATGGGGACCAGGATGAGAACAAGGGCAAGAATGAGAGGCGGAAGAATACCAGCGACACCACCAGCAATCTGATAAACCGTGTTGTTATTCTCGATCCACCGGAGCCATGGTATGGACGTGAGCTTGTCAATGTTGGCAAGCGCAGCCGTCCAAGCAACTGGGACAGCCCAGAAGATGACCATGGCCGTGATGAGCAAGGTGACTGCTCCGGTCCGGACCCACTCGTCCCACCACTTGATCGCCATGTTGCTCCATATGACATCGTTAGGCGAGACTTCGTTGACGCGGGGTGCCATTTGCTTGGGCAGATGGTGAATCAGACTTTGGCAGGCCATGTGAGCCGAGATTTGCTCATTAAACTGAATAAACGCCGAATTCATGAGTGGATAGCGCTCAGGGCGCGCCTGATCTTCCCGAATCTCCAAGTTGAGACGCGCAAGTTCTGTTCGGCACCAGTAGATTGTGTCGACCTTTTTCCCAAAGGTAAGCCATGCAAGCCAAGTGGGAAACCCCCATCGCGGGAGACGATGCCTGGGTCGCTTGCTGGGCTTGACGTATTTGCGCCAAGCAGCGTCCGGTTCGCCGAGGCCATCGGTGGCCTGGTAGTCTTTGCCAGAGTACGAAGCAGGATCATACTCAATGGCGGGCAGTTCGTCACCACCCATCCCTGGGATCCAGGATTTGACGCGCTCGGCGAAAGTTTTGGGAGTCTTCTTTTGACCAAATGGAAATTCGGACCCCTCTTGCATTTGAGGGACAGGCGACGCGAATCCGCCGGGAGGAGCTCGCCAGAACTGATACCATTGCCGTTTCTCATTGTCGTATAGATTGTTCAAGTTGCTGACCTTGCGGATAGTGTTCCCGTTTGCAGTAGTGTCGTAGTTGGAGAAAGCCTTGACGATCTGTGATGTGTCCGATGCGTCGCGCGAATGAGTGCTGTGCACTCTCTCAGCCGCATCTGTTGTCCTCGAGTGGCACTCGGCGCTGTCGGTAGTTCCTGGTCGAACGTTCTCTTCCCTCACAGCCTGGATGCGTGCGTGGTCGGCAGACCCTCGGGCGTATGTGGCGTGTTCGCCGGCACCTGGTGAGTTGATTCTCATGAAGCCGTTGGTGGTATTGACACCGTCTTCAACATCATGGCCGAGCGCCTTGAAGCCCAGACCGGCCTTGCCCACACCGCCACGGAGGCCTTGCCCGACCTTCTCCAGGCCGCCTCCTAGCAAGCCGAAGCCAAAGCTCCCGTTCTCACGCTCTAGCTTGTCGTCGCCGTCAATGTGGACATGGCTGTTTCGTCGGTTCCCGCTCTGCTGGTGCTGGCCGACGGCTTCACTGACGTCATGTGGCACCTCTTCGTGTGCGCCAGAACTCACGCCCTGTCCCGCTTCAGCCATTTGATGCGCTGCGGCGTCTTCTTGTTTACGTCTGAGGTCCAAGTCGGCCTTGGTGGGCGCCTTGCCATGAGATGCCTTGCGGGCTTTTTTCTCGTCCTTTTTCCTCTGCTTGAGTTGATTCTTCTTGGCCATCTTGATGAGATCCGTTTCCGCCGACTCGAGCTGTTGGTGAATCTGAGTACGAAGCTCGATCTTTTCCAGGAGCTGGCCCAAGTCTCTGTTGAGCCAGACATTGCGGATGCCGCCCGGGAAGACGTCAAATAGACCCCTGATGCCTTCTTCGGTGAGCCATTTTGGGGGCACGTTGTTGACGAGGACAGTTGTGGCGGAAGCACGGAGGCGGTGTTCAGCGCTTGTCAAGTGATCTTGGCGAATCTTGATATAGACGCGGAGTTCGAAGTAGAAGACGACGCATACCCAGGAAATGACCAAAATTGCCATGATCAGATGGGCCCAGTACCGACTTGAATTCTCGCGTGAAACGTTGGACATGGTGAGAGTGTCAAGGCCTCGTGGAGGGCCGGCTTGTCTGTTGTTACCGCTCGTGCTGTTCTGCCCCCTCGGACGACCGCCAATGACGTCCTGGCCCTCGCCGCCGATATAGTTGATGGGAACCAGAATAGGTATCAGAACACACATCATGGGGACGAAGATGATGAGCAACGTCTTGAGAAATCGTAGGAAGAAGTAAGCATCTAAGCCGCACCGTCTGATAATGTCGCGGTCGCTGAAGGTCCATAATGTTTTGATGAGTTGTACAGGATTCCGTGGCGGTGGATCTGTTCGTTCGCGCTCGGGGGCGAGATACGTTTTTGGTTTGCTACCATGCCATCAATTAGAATATGGACCATAGACTAGGGAGAGAGGGAAGAGGACTGACAAGATGCGGGCGAGTTTATTCCGTAGTAGGAGGAAGATACTGATTTGGACCGCGAAAATGATCACGGAGGCCGCCAAGGCTGCCAGGAAAGCATTGAGTCCTGTGCCTGCTCTTGATTCGGCGCTGCCAGGCGCCCCCTGGGTTGACATGGTCGCTGCAGGAGACAAGCCCCAGGGTCAAGCAGATCTTGCTCTGACCTGGTTGACGGGCTTTGCGATGCTATCGTTGGATGGAGAGGAAGAATGCCGGCTGTGTCCTAATTTTGTGGGTTGTCGTGAGTCTGCTGAGCCAGGAGCGTTTCCGGAGGTGCGTAATGGAAGCGGAGATGAGTATCGTGCCGTCAATTCTATTTCTCCGTGGAGTAGGTAGGTGGGTGACTGTACACTCCGAGAGAATGGTCGTGTGCCAATAGAACAATAGGTGCAAATGCCTTAAAAAACACAATGATCGCTAAAAGATAAGGAACGAGGTCGACGATCCGGGTGGTAGGTGTGGGGAGAAGGAGGGAGCCAAAATGTAGGAAAGGTGGAGTTTCATAGGGACGGAGGGAGTTCAAGAGGGGATCGTCGTCACTGGCGGCCAGTTCGTCATTCCCCAGGCCTCTTTGAAGGCATGGATGGCACATAGCTTCTGGCGATGGGGTGCGACTTTGCCTGTGAACCAGACGTACCTGCCCAAGCTGCCGTAGACAGACCGTGAAGGAACCCACTGAATCGTTGCGCCGGGTGCTCTTGGTCTTTTGGGAAGTGGATCTGGGCACATTGATTGGCCATCCGACGCGACAGGGACCATATCTTGGAAAGAACAACTGGGGTCAGTGACATCAGCGGCTTCATTGGCCCTGGAGACGTTTGTCCGAAACAAGCCCCTGCCCCTGACACTGCACCCTTTGGCCTGCACAGCGCCCTTCATACCCTTCTGGTTCGTCAAAGACCTGAGCTTGACTAGCCGCCATCATTGCCTTTGCTGAACACAAGCCAGCTCTCGACCACCCTTTGGCGACCTGAAATAGATCCGGCGCGCGCTTCATTCGAATTCAAGATTTGACCTTGACAGGTCTAGAACCAATTTTGCCCGCCCAAAATGCTACCCTGGTGGCGCCCGCCAGAGCCCCATGTCAGGCCTGTCAGGCGTTCTATGTCAGTGAATCGCCACGTCGTCAGGACCCCTGCCGACCTCAAGTCGAAGCAAAAGCCAGGCGATGCGCTGGTGGTGGAACCTCACAGCAGACATGGTCGTATCGTCTCCGAACCCGAGAAAAGTGGATATCAAATAGACTAGCGAGATGGCATCGCCCGCCGTGGCCGCCCGCGCTTCCGTTACATCCTCTCGCTCCCTGCTTTAACTTTTCGCTTCCCGACTCAGTGCTGAGGAGGACTGCCGATCGGGAGATTCTCAAGCTGTACTCACTGTTCAAGACAATAAGTCAGGGAAAGAAACACCGCGTGTTTCTCAGCAAGAAACGCTCTCAGGTCACAGCCGTCTGCTGGTACCTTTGATACAGACACTGATCAGCCACTCTTACAGCAATCAGGGTGTCGTTTGATACTGCTCAACCTTGAATGGGCACATTCCGAACGCCCCTTCGGCATCTCAGGGCCGCTCAGGCATGTAGATGCGCACCATGACGCCAACACTCGTTGCTCGGGAAGGCTGCTGCATCTCGTCGTAGGCAAGGAGCACCGTGATCTAGGTAGCCCCGGGTGGCCATGTCTCTTGGAATATATTTGCGCTCATCTACGATGTGCATCAACGGCTGGGATGATTGCGTGACACACGTATCGCCCCAAGCTGTTTGTCTAGAAACATAGCACTCTCAGAATCCTCATCGTCAACCATCTTTATCACCATGTCGCAACAGACAATCTACGTCTACGTACGTAAGAGGTACTGCACACAAATATGCAGGCCAGATCGGGCGGAATGCTACGATTCAAAGATCGCTGTGTGGATTGGCATCCTTCCACCGATCCTCCGTGCCTTCACCTACCTGCCAAGCTACCTTACCTAGGTACATGACGAATGCAGTGCATTAGGTCAGCAAGTGCCAAGTCTCTACCGACCTCGGTGTGGCGTGGCGGGGAACAGCTGACCCTCAACACGTCGCCGTCCAACATGCATGTGAGGACGTATCCATTGACACAGATACATCGTGGACGTATTGTGTATGAGGAGGTGCGAAACTCCTCTCTTGGTTTGCAGAAACTACGAACAGGCTGATGAATTAAAGGGTACTCAGATTAGGTGGTTGATTCCCATATAATATAGCTTGGTATTGAAACAGGTACGCGACGTTCCGTATTGTAGCAAGCTCTCGAAAAGAACCCAACTGCAATGTTCGATACCTTGATCACTATTTCCAGATCGTCTATCCGGTCTCATGAGTGCAGCAGCTGAAAGATGTACATCTTCTTGAATAAAAGATCCTGAAAAATAAGGGTGTCACTACCGACCACCACGACTACACGTCAGAAAGACCAATCTTTCTGGTTTCTCGCGGCCACCCAGCTCCAGCTGCCACATGCCTGTGGTTCGCGAAGAAATCCAAATAGAGTATCATGCATGCACATATCCATATGAAATGGTTGACAGACAAAGATATGGAATTATTGCCGAAGGGCTCGACGGGCCACTTGCAGGCGCGAAGATGTGTAATACTTCCTCCAACGCGCGCCCTGCAACGATTACAACCAAGCCTACAGAAAAAAGACATCCTACACAGCGCCTCCCCAAGAACCGTGAAGCGTCGTGCTGGGCCTCTATCCACACGCGCGAAACGTTCAGCAGCAGCTTCCTCTCTGCCTACTCCTTTCTGTATTATACCGCGCAAACATTGCAGTTCCTTGACGCCGGTGGACCGAAAACAGAAAAGAACAAGTTGTGACTGATTGTCCCCATGTCTGGTGATGCGACGTCGCGAGGAGGGCCGCGTCTTGGTTCCACTCTGTCGAGCGAATATAGAAGCCGCTGCCGCCCTCACACACCACTGTTCTCGCCAGCATCGCGTGCCGACTTAGAACAAGCAATCCAAGCAGCAGCAACACGCCAGCGCACCAGCGAGACCGGCGAGAATGCCCGTACCGGCGCCGCCACCGCCGTTGTTGTTACGGTTGTCCTGGTAGTAGCCGCCTTGTGGTGGGTAGGGACCGCCCTGAGGAGGTCCGTACATCTGGCCGGGCGGGGGGCTGTTGTACATGCCGGGGGGCGGGGGACCGTAGCTACCAGGACCGCCGGGTGGGGGGTAGGGTCTGCCCTGGGGACCGGGAGAGCAGAGTACGGCTGGCCTCCCATGTCAGGTCCGTTGGGAGGTGGGAGCAGAGGAGGTTGGGCACGAGTCAGTGAGACAGATGCCACTGGAGGAGGAGCAGGGGAAAGTGGAGTTCAGAGGTAGAGTGTATTGAATGTG